TGGGCAAACAGAATTGCTACTTGTATTTGTTCTTTGATTACTACCCATTCTATAGCAATTATCCAATTATTAAATTGATGATTACTTTGTTTTCTAAATCTGCAGCAATAAATTAATAAACAATATTGTCATAAATATTTTTTACAAGTATAAAACAATCTCTGCAATTTACATATGTAATTATATAAAATACATACATTATTTTCTTTGTTTCTTTGACAATATCACAGATACATATAGATTTAGTACCAAACACTACTAATTTATTATCCTACTACTATACCATGAATATTGCTTGGATATAAACAATCTAATTTACTTCTCAATTGATAAGACTGTGTGTCAACTACATAAAGCACAGGCCCCATACCTGCAATAACAAACTATTATATTAAAAAATTTAAACATTAACTATCTTAACATCAAAAATTCAACTTTGTAAAACAAAATGTCATATTACTCTTTCAAAACTTATTATTGTATTCTGTTATATTAACACTAACCTACCTACGAGGACAAAATTTTTGCGAGGACATTTGTACGTAACAATTTGGAAATTATATCTTCTATTGCCTTTGTACATGTAGCAGTTGATATTATATTTTAAAGAAATGCATTAAGACGCATTGTAACCTATTGTCACGCATTGTCTTCTTCTTCTTTGCTAATATGGCGCTGGCCCTCGAAGGGTTTAGGCACTGGCAAGTCTTTGATAAGGTGTGTTCAAACACCATAAATAAAACATGTTAAGGCGGATTAGGTCCTTGTTGTACACTTGATTCTAAGATATTTATGTACTTATACGTTTATGGATATTTAGTTTGTTTGGTGTCCTTGGCTGAATGGACTTACAACGCAAGTCCACACGCCGTTCTACGTACTTGTAACGATAGATCTTAAACCGTAGTTTGGGTACCTGACACCAAGCCACAGAGTTGTATATTCGTTAAAACTAATAAATAAGATGAGGTTGACGGTGTAAAAAACACCGAAAATTGTCCAAAAATATCTAAATGTAACTACGCACATCTAACCGGCACGGCTGAACGTGGATGCCAGATACCGGCCGCTTGGTAGCATGCGGTAGCATGGAGGGGATACGCACACAGCTTCATGCCGTGTTAGGACTCCGAAGCTCGAGCGCACACGTACACGGCATGAAGCTGTGTGCGTATCTCCTCCATGCTACCGCATGCTACCAAGCGGCCGGAATCTGGCATCCCTGCGGCTGATGCAACACCACTTCATCATGCATTGTCAAGAATTATCTTGTACCTTTTGAATCGCAAGCTTTGTAGCATTAAACGTGATTCAATCACGGTGATTGGCTCTTACTTTTAGAACTATCTAATCAATAACAAGTATTGACAAGGGCTGCGTTCCGTTTTACGCATATGCGCGCGTGTATCTATAGTACACGTTACGTATAGTATAGATAAATGCGCGTATATGCGTGAAACGGAACGCAGCTAAGACGACAATTCAGATTGTTGTGTTGAATACGGCCATTCACAGGGTGCTTTCCAACTACGTAACAGGCGACACTGTGTAACACTGTGTCCACTAGT